TTCAAACCCATATTAATTTCGTCAATAAGCAAATGGTGTTTGTTGATGGTTTGATTATGCAGTGACGTTGAGGACTGCTAAGAGATATTGACGGTCATGAGGTAGTAGATGAGAAAAGTCCCTCATCAACTGCATTTTTATTTAATATGAGGTGTGTTTTGTGAAACACTAAAAGTGGTTATAATGCTTGACAGTGACATTATCCATCCTAACGATGCCTGGCTTCTGCGCGAGTGAGAAACATTGTATGAAGAACTTACGCATTTAACATTTGAAACGTTCTGTTTCAACTGAGTCAGAAAAAACAAAACCTCAACTTCCAGTCTGTTATGTCGAAATGCGTTTTTCATGAAGGATTTCCGTGACATATCTCAGGCATGCATATTATTCGTTACAGTGCTCGGAACAAAGTAAAAAAATTAGCACGCATAACTTATGTTAACTCCTAGCCCAATACTTATTGAATTTTTAGTTTTTATAGCTTAATAATTTTCAGTTGTATAATTACTACGACAAACTGAAAGCATTCGATATCTTCGATATAGTGACGTGCATTTTTCGATGATATTTGTTTAAGGAGCCCATATTTGCTATCGTTTGCAGGCATATTGAAAAATTATCCCGCCGTAGGAGGTGTCATCAATGTTGTGTGTCTCAGAGAGGTTGCAGCTGTAGTCAGTATATATATACAAATGATGCAGTTACGGGTCATTGTGTGTGGCTAGTTCTGTGGCGATAAGTGGAGAAGAGATTACTAGGCAATGTCAGGACGTGGTAAAGGAGGCAAAGGACTAGGAAAAGGGGGAGCGAAGAGGCATCGCAAGGTATTGCGTGATAATATCCAGGGGATCACGAAGCCAGCTATACGGCGCTTGGCAAGACGAGGCGGCGTGAAGCGCATCTCTGGTTTGATATACGAGGAAACCCGCAGTGTGCTAAAGACATTTCTGGAGAATGTTATCCGTGACGCAGTTACTTATTGTGAACACGCCAAAAGGAAGACCGTTACTGCTATGGACGTAGTCTATGCATTGAAACGACAAGGCCGTACACTCTATGGTTTTGGTGGTTGACTGATGCTTTAATCAGCAATAAACCCAACGGCCCTCATCAGGGCCACAAATTAATGAATCGGGCATTTTCCGATCTTCTATCACGTTCTGTGTTCAACATACAATTGGAACTTTACACAACGTAAGAGAGAGTCTTCTCTTACGTATTCTCTGTAAGTAAATCACGATGCATGACGTTACCCTACACATAAGTGAATCAAGTTGTAAAGTAGTAACATTTACACAGTCCTGAATCAGGCTGTAGTGTAAAACTGCATATGTGCAAAGAGCAGATGATATAAGGTATTAGAGGCGTAATGATATAAGGTATTAGAGGCGAGCAAGAAATAAGTAAGTTAAGTTTCCAGTTTTTCTGCAGTGCACGAAAGTATTCATACTTGACATGGCTGACGCGAAATTTAGGCAAACTTTCCTGTCTTTTCAATGCATAATCGTGTTCGATACCTTTAACGGGGTAAATTTGAGGAAATTCTTGAGGCATTTGTAAGCTTGACATTAAGAATATGCTGCGAACCTTACGCCTAGCATCTTCCGTCTTTTTTTGCAATTAATTCAACACTCTCTTTGTCAAAACTTTTTATCGCCTTCGAGCGAATTTTCTCAATGGTCATGATCTTCTGCGGAAAACAAATGTTTACGGAAATTAAGAAGAACAACTGAAATTGACACCAAATAGGGACCAAGAGATATCTGGTACGTAACTGTTGTGCAATCTGACTGTCCCTGAACTTTCTTTGTGTAATTCGTAACAAATTATTCAATACAGCACAAGACCGTTGAGACAAAAGAGGGGTGCTAGAGATTGTGTTCGATTAGAGACTAGAAGAAATGCAGACAGTTAGCGAAGAAATATTGACTTTTGACGAGGTAGTGGACGGAAGTCATACATTCTTCACAACAGCTACCGTCGAGACGCGAATTCACCGCTCAGAGCTCTAACGAGGACGACAGTGTTCTGCGAGTGTTCAGGTCTCTGTTGCAACATCTTTGTTGTGAATAAGTTTGTACTGTGATCATTACAGTTTGTGTTCATACGCTCTCTCGTTTGTAATCTGTATTTTTATAAAGTATAGTTCCATCAGATTCCGTTACCAGATTATAATTATTGTTGTTTTCCCTTAGCAATGCTGGTCGAGGCAATGTACTACATTTTCAATTTTCTCTTCTCCACTTTTATAATGTATTTATGTTTTTCATTTTATTCTAATTTTAGTACTTCTCTGGTATTTAATTCTGTCTTATCAGATTTTGTAGCTACTCTGTACTCCTCTTCCGAATTCGTCTATTCTAATGTAATTGTGATTCAATCTCAGCTACTTGTTAGCACTGTAATCTCACCACATCAGTCTATTTATTCAGTGAGATGCCAAGCAGTGATTGTCGTTCTTGATTTCACCTATGCATTTCAACGTCATTATGGGTCATAGGCTGCTTATTGCATTGATTCAATTTGTATATTTTTTTCCCTTCATTTATGATAGATTTTAAATGCACATATAACGAAAATTTTATTTGCGAGTGAGAAATTAGTGATTTCTGCGTTATTTGTATTCTTGAGTGATTAAGAAGTGAGTTTTCATATTCCAGTTGAAGCACAGAGAATAATATTAGTTTATACTTGAATTATTAATTTGTCATTTTTTTAAATGTCAAAGAATTTTAGATACACTTTACCAATTACGATTCACTTTGTTCTGATCATAATTGATTTTATTCGTAGTAATTGTCATTCTTGCAGAAGTAATCATTGTCATTCTTGCAGAATGAGTACAGTTTCAACTTGCATGCTGTACTAGTATTCAATCTCTTCTCATTGTAATTACAAAACTATGAATTTTTTTGTTTTTGTCCTTTCATTTCAAGTCATACTTGCTTTTAATGCCGCTTTATTTTTGTTCAAGTGAAGAACTTTGCATTTCTTATGATTGTGTTTGCTTTTCGCTTATTTTTTGCTAACTTGAGAAAGTGATCTGTATCAAAAAACATAGTACAACGTTATTTATTTAGTTGATTTGATACATATTAGAGTTGTACATAAGCTGTCTTGTCATTGTTTACCTTGGAGAGAAATATAAAAACAGACTATAGTCCATTTTTATTCTAATAAAAACCAGTTGAAGTCCATTTTTATTCTAATAAAAACCAGTTGATTAAGTTATTGAGCGATTGATACTACACACGTTCAATGATCACTGTTTCAGGGCTTATGCAAGCTTTGGTGTGACAGTGTTGTTCAATGAAGAGAAGTGGCATGATGGTTTTAGCCATGACTGAGCCTTTTTGCGATGATAGGTTAGCGTTTTCATTAAATTTTTACAGCCTTACAACACATTTAAAAATTATGTGAGTAAAACGTTTTTTATTTTTTTAAACGCATTTTATGAAAGAATACAAACATTCATATTATGTTTCAGGAACACATTCCCTTGAGCATTTTTCCCTCTACGACTTGACAGTTCTCGATGATTTTCATCATATGCCACCTTGCACATTTGCGCAGAAGGTTTTTCTCCAAATTCTTACTGATCAAAATTTTCGTGATTGTTGACTGCTTACTTAAAAAAATAGTGTCAAGCCATTTTGAAATAGTGAATAGGCTTAAAATTTTCGAAAAATGGATGGATGGGTATTATCAATTTAAACACATTTAATGCGTACATTGATGAAATCAGTTAGCAGGTTTGAACTTAACAAAAAATGGATGAGTTCTGGATTGACAGATCAGTGAGTTCATGGATGCTTGGATGTGGATAGTATTCATTACTCGGTGCATAGATGGATGCGTGGTATTCAGTTCTCAGTGTGCTCATTCACGATGAAGTAGCAGTACGCTTGCAGAGTAAAAACTGTTCGGACGAATTGATGCTCATGAATTGTACTCAACATTCAATGTAGTCAGTTATTGTATTCAATACTCGGGTTACATCTGTGATGTAACTATATCTATACACTGTACTACCACTTAGTTTTATAATTCAATTCAGTCCTGATATTGCTTTCATATTTCTTTTGTCAAATTATTGCCATTGATAGTGAATAAAATTTATACTATATATACCATTTTGGTGTGTTTCACTAAACTTAGAAATAAATCTTGGCAATAATGGCGATCAATTCACTACGCTTCGAGATTGGTACGGAATAAATTATTTTTTAAGGGTTTGCTTCACCCGCACGCTGTCTTCATTATTTATTTATATTCAAGTATTAATCACTGCCTAACATCAGCATTACTTAAAAATCAAAGCGATCTTACCCCTCCATTAACATTACCGAAATCCGGCGAAATAAGATCACAAGCAAACAAATGCACATAGGATCATTAATAAAATGTAGCAAAAGAAATATAATAATACCTATTCTACGTATTCAAGTATATACTTGTTATAGGACATATCCTTGATTAGTATCATACCTTTATTGGAAATATCTTCGCACTTTGCAACACAATTTTTAAGAGTATCACTTTAAAATAAAAACTAACAAAGGTTCCACAGTTGCACTTAATTAGAAGTCAAGAATAGAATCTCTTTCAAATCATCTTTACAGACTGGTATGAAAGTTCCTGATGGATGTAAAGCAATTAATAAATTACAAAAGTTTCTAAGCAAAATCATGCAGCCTATCATGTTTATGATTAATTAGACAGTTTTATGCAAATTGATTGATCCCTCTTTTTGTTTAGAGAAAATTAAAGAAAATCCTTATAGTTAACTCTTTTATGTATGCAACTGCATAGTGTATAAATATGAACAAATATATGAAAAACTGTATTTTGAATTTTCAATTTGTGTTCAATTTGTTCAACTTTTAGTGGCAATTTTAAATCTACTTCACAGTGAAACGGTTTAAATCTAGAATTTCCCAACTGTAAAGTATATATGTCTTTACATAATAAATACGAAGTTACTTTTATATATATTCACTGAATAATTTTTAAGCGACAGTATTTCTGTATAAAAGGATCAGCATAATCAGCATAATTCAGAAATCAGCAGAATCAGCAAACATGAGCATAATCAGCATAATTTTAAAGCATAAATTTTCTAAATTAGCATAATTTTGAAATACAGCAGTGTATTAATACTTTCCGGAGCATTAAAAGAACGCAATCCTTGTAAGTATGATTTTAAAATATACAAATTAATTAGGAATGTTAAGATAAAATGAGTGACCAGTTCAATATCTGTAACAAATTAATGACAAATTTTGATATTTAAGTATCGTAATTTTTCAGTGTTACACACTATCATGTTATTTAGCGGTTAATTTTCAATTTTATTTATTTGCACAAATTTGCTCGAAACGTTAGCACTGAAACCGATTCTTGGATTTTGTATAGCAGGACTTCTACTTTTTTCTACACAATTTAAATTTGCAACTGCATATAAAGAATATTTTCCACCTAGTGATTTCAGTGGTGTCATGGATCCAAGAATGGGTCCAGCAAGGTTGGTTATCTAATTATTACTGAATGCAAATTTTAAATTGCTTTCAATTTTTCTGGAAAGCGCAACGCTTTTTAATATTAGTAATTATCATTTTATCCAAAAATCTACATCAAATCATAAAGTATTTGAAATTTAAGCTTAAAACTACCAGTCAAATTAAAAAAAAACAAACCAATTATCGATAAACTTTAGAAACTATAAATTGCCAAGACATCTAAAACATTACATTTAAGCCGATATCGGTTATTAATTTATGACGCACCTTGGATTAGATGTCAAGTGTATATTGTAGGTATTCTTGTTGGATATTTATTGCAGACAAAAAAACTCTTCGAATACCAAAGGTCGCTTTTCAGAAGTATTTTTAATGAAAACTAGAAATATCTCAGTAGCATTTCCTGAAATATATTTAATTGTAAAGTGAAGTGAAATCAAATTAGCGTGCAATTTCGCATTTAAATTTTTTATCGGTTTTTGTTCTGAAATTAATTATTGAAGACTACTACTATTGAAGACTACTACTTTTTTCAAGAGTGAAAAAAGACGTATCCGATAAGTAATATTACGACTTAACGAGTATACAACATTTTTTTGACTTTGTCTTTTGTGGATTTTCAAAATTTAATTTACAGATTTTTATTCAAACTCAAAAAGTTGAGCATAATTTGGCGAGTAAAAAACAGAATTACTTCAAATTTCAAATTTAATCTCTCGATCAATTTACATGTTTACTATTTAATAAGGGTAAGTGATTTTAATAAATGCGAATTTATAGCTAAAAATATTACTCATACAAAAAACTTTAGAAATAACGAATCTAATATTAAATATGAAGAAAATAGCGATCATCACAACCTACTGAATAATGCCATGGAAGTATGGATTAAAGTTTTAAAAATTTTTAATTCTTATTCAGTACAACAAAATGTAATCTCTAAATCCAATGTTTAAAAAATTATGCAAAAATAGTCAGAACAAAAATAGACATCTATTATCATTATTTTCAGCATCTTTTGGTACCTACTATTACCATTCACAATAAAATGAACTGCTGGTTTTAAAATTTACTTGAGCAGGTAGGTTATGCAAATATGGATATCGAGCATTTCGAATGATTAGAGCACTATCATTATTTGCGATGAATTGATTATTTGATATGATCATGATAATATTTACTGCTGGCTTCATTCTAAAACCAACTTCTAGGCCATCTTCTACTCGATTCCCGGTAAAATCAATAATGATATTGGCCATTCCTGCTTTTTGACAAGCGAAAATTTCGATAGATGCATGATAGCGATTTGCAGTTAATTCTGTTCAACTTATTAGTACCTATATTCTTTATTAAATTATTAATAGCATCAAAAATTGCCTAATTATTGATATAATTAACAAGCTTAAAAATTTTATATTATTCAGTAACATGAACGGAAAAAAACAAGTAAAAACTATAATGTTTTCAAACGAGAAAATAAAAACTAATAATAATTTTAAAAATTTAAAAACTTAAAGGTTCAAAAAACAAAACAAATAATAAATGAAAGGAAAGTACACAAATATTGCAAATAGTATACAAAATATGTATTTATCAAAAACTATATTAGAATAATTTTTGTGCAAACTTTGATAAAGTTTAAATTAAAAATTTGACCTTAGGTTGAATATTTCTCCAAGAAGGTACACAATAATTTCA